GACATTCAAGATTTTTCACCCACAGTTTTTGAGGTGAAAAAAACGGATTTTTTGAAAAATATAAAATATAAAAAAAATCGAGGCGGCACCAAAAAATTGAGGCGGGCGGCCATGTAAAACAATTTATTAATTTTAAGTGGCCTAATACACAGGTTAAGAATTAAAGATAAGATATTGGTTAAACGCATGAAAATTAATCTGAAATGTGTTTTGAATTACTTTCTTTTGTATTACTACTACTGTTGCTATATATGAACCCGTCTTAGATCACTCGCATTACTTTTGTTTAGACCATGCTTACAGCGTCAGCATTCATAATGACCACTTCTTAAGTTGACGCTTTTTAAAGTCCTATAGCTGTAAAACACAAACACGAATGACACACCTCGTAATACTGTATGTATAGACAACTCACAGGAACTCGCTGAACAGTGGCACACCTCAGCACCTCACTACTCCGAATGGAAGTTTTTTTTCCGGTGGCTGGAGTGTCAATCCTGCCGTTTTTTTCCACCAATTTTTTGGTTCAAAAGACTTTTTGACCGAATTATGATATTATTATGAAATTATTAATAATTAAATTAGAAGTTCACAAACTACAGAGGGATTTTAAATGTTAAGTTAAAACGAGCCTCCCTTTGAAATACTGTAGCCTACGGGTGTTACGAAATAGAACTTGAAGAAAAAGTACAATCCTTACCTGAACGCTGTTTTTACCCCATTAATCTAATGAATTGTAGTTATAACGTTAAATCAGCGCAATAAACGTGTAATTAAACAGCGTCTAAAAACATTTGAGTACTGAAAAATACGGAAGAGGATTAGGGCCACCATGAAAATATTATTTGAATTCTGACTTTGATGTCAGAATTCTGACTTTAATCTCAGAATTCTGTCTTTTTTTCTCAGAATTCTGAGGGGAAAAAGTCAGAATTCAAATAATATTTTCATGGTGGCTCTAATCCTCTTCAATAGAAAAAGGAGCACATAAATCAGACCTGTAATTCATTTTAAACAGTTGGCCTATTAATTTAAAATACACATCAAAACATCTGTTACGCTCATTCTGCCATCTTTAAAAACTGACAATTGCAAACATGCAATTAAATCATTGATAATCAAAACGTTATAACAACTTGTAGGCCGAGCAGTGCATGGTGATACGTGAGCAGGTATTTAGAGACAGATGATCTTAAAACCACCATGAAAACTCAAGACTTCCCTAAACTCGCGTAAAATGTGAATATGATGAGCTGAATCGGGGGAATGCATAAATAACACATTTCATGGAATAAACCTGGTCAATTTTAAGTAATTAACTTAAGAAGTCGCTGGGACCAGAGTCTTTGCACCAGGTGCCGTTATTAAAAGAAGAGTAACCATCTTATCTCGTGTATCCCAGAGTTAACTGTCACTAAATCACGTTTTATTGGATTATTGCTCTAACTAAATCAGGAAAATATTCCCTTCGTTAAATTCTTTAAAGGATATTTTCAGTTTAAATTAAAAATACCTTTAAATGTAGCCTAATTAACAAAAAATGTTAATTCTTTATTGTTGTCTGTGTAATTTTCTGTTAAATTGCCCCAGTAATCTAAATTATTGTAGTTACATTTAGATGTTAAAACAGTGCGATTGCAAATATGGTTTAGCTAAAAACTAAACCTACTATTAAAAAGTATCTTAGAACAGGTTACATCAGAAGTACGTTAGTATTGATGCAGGAAATTAGTCGGATCGATTTATATTAAAAAGTAAACAGAAAATGAACGATATTTAGAATGGATTATCAAAGCACGGTGAGACGGAGAGGACTTACCTCTGGTGACAGCGACTTTGGTGCCTTTTCCCCAGTAGTCGAAAGCACCACAGTGATTCATTACATTACGCTACCCGTACAATAACATGTATGTATAATTAAAGTTGGTGGTAAAACATCTGCAGAGAAAAACATATATAAAATAATGTTCTCTTAAACAATCAACCTCATTTAACCAATGAGTGGCATAGAATCATTAATAAAGTGAAATATAACAAGTCGTAGAAACACAAACAGATGTCCCTCCAATTCGAATTAACTATATTGTAACCTTCAGTATGACAGTAAGGTTTTTGTACGAGTCTACATCATTGTGTATACCTACCCCCCAGCTAGTCCAGTATCACAGTGATACAAACTCGTACAAAAACTGAGCTCCCTTGTATCTTTCAGTTATTTTTCTGTTATATGCTACAGTCACAATTCACACTGTAACCATATGAACAGTAATTTGAGCCTTATAAACATGAATGCATATTTTTGTATCGTAACAAATCATGCATTCGTGTTGGAATGACATGACAATAAATTGTTTAGTCGCGTTCAGTTTACTAGGTCTCGAACAGGGAACGGATGTAATTTTGACATTAAATAAATGGTTCAAATAAGTGGTTAAATAAGTGGTTCAAAACAGCATAAAAAATCACATTTTCTAGAAAACTCTAGAATTTTTTTAGAAAACGAGAAAATTCTGCTTCCTGCTTTTACATTTAAGTTTACCAACCATTTGTCAGTTGTCATATATAGTACTGGGCTCTCCGTAACATTTCCGTTAATCCGGATCCAACAATCTGAAATAACAGGCAACAATCAAGAAGACAAGCAAATTAACAATCTATATTGGTATTTTTTTTCTTGGAGAAATAAAGACCTGCGGTGGGTTTCCCGGTAACGGTGACTCTTAGCGTCTTACGAAGACTCTAAAGACATATCTTACGAAAGGCATATTTCTTTTCATACGACTGTTTCCCGAATAATCTCTTAAAGAGATTGTTAAGTATGGGAGGTATTTTCTGCAAAAAATAAAATAAAAATTATAAAATGAAAATTCAATCTCCATTCTCCCATTTAGTTTTCAAAGTCTGTGCGGCAAAAATCCTGCCAGAATAAAAAATTAAATGAAATAGCACCATTTGCATTTCAAATTTCCAGTCATGTACGTATGACTCAGACGTGGAAAAAACTTTTGTCTTATCATTTTCCAGTTTGACTTTTCATTTCCTACTTTTCCTACTCAAGTTCACGACATGCAAATATATGTTAATTGGAGCGGGGAAAAGGAAAATGGCTCTTAGAAGCTTTCTTTTGAACTGCAGTCAGATATTTACGGAATGCATCCGGCTGGCATTGTCTGATAATGTAGCCTACGTTGTGTCAGTGAAATGAGCTTCATAGCATGGCCTCTTAACTTCTTGTGAGTGATTATGAGTGACTTCAGCTGGTGACTTCTCTGAGGCCATTTAAGTTGGGCTCATTGGATACAAACGCCCACAAACGCTACAATGGGAAAGTCAATGGAGCTCAGCATGGATCTGAAAAAGTGAATTATTGACTTGAACAAGTCAGGAAAAGTCACTTGGAGCCATTTCAAAGCAGCTGCAGGTCCCAAGAGCAACAGTGCAAACAATTGTTTGTAAGTATAAAGTGCATGGCACTGTTTTGTCACTGCCACGATTCGGAAGAAAACGCAAGCTATCACCTGCTGCTGAGAGAAAACTGGTCAGGAGGGTGAAGAGTCAACTGAGAACCACCAAAAAGCAGATCTGCCAAGAATTAGAAGCTGCTGGAACACAGGTGTCATTGTCCACAGTCAAGCGTGTTTTGCATCTCCATGGACTGAGAGGCTGCCGTGCAAGAAGGAAGCCCTTGCTCCAAAAGCGGCACCTTAAGGCTCGACTGAAGTTTGCTGCTGATCACATGGACAAAGATAAGACCTTCTGGAGGAAAGTTCTGTGGTCAGACGAAACAAAAATCGAGCTTTTTGGCCACAATACCCAACAATATGTTTGGAGGAGAAAAGGTGAGGCCTTTAACCCCAAGAACACCATGCGTACCATCAAGCATAGTGGTGGTAGTATTATGCTGTGGGGCTGTTTTGCTGCTGATGGAACTGGTGCTTTACAGAGAGTAAATGGGATAATGAAGAAGGAGGATTACCTTCAAACTCTTCAACATAACCTAAAATCATCAGCCTGAATGTTGGGTTTTGGGTGCAGTTGGGTGTTCCAACAGGACAATGACCTCAAACACACATCAAAAGTGGTAAAGGAATGGCTAAATCAGGCTAGAATTAGGGTTTTAGAATGGCCT